ATATATCATAATAGTAGCTTCCTACTGTGTTGATGTCCCTCTGATGATGGTCTCTGAAGACCGAAACATGTAAGGGCATGAAGAATTTAAATAAGAAAAATCTTCACCAGTCACACTGGATGGACCTGTTTAACTTTTTATAATTCATAGACCTTTAAGATTCAATTTTTCCTGAGAATTTCTCTTATACGAGGGTCGTACTGAAAGTCATGAGTAAAAGTTTTTTTGTAAAGTAACATGCTTTATTATTGACAAACCAAATACACCACCTCAATCTACAGACCTTTCTTTATTTTTCCACATAATCCCCACTTTTTTGTACACATTTCTCCCAGCGTTCTGGGAGTTTGAAAATTCCCCTTCGTAAAATTCCGTTCCAGCCATCCGAAGACACTGACGCACTGCTTTTTGAATTGCCTCCCTTGTCTCAAAACGTCCATGCAGCTGATCTTTCACAAATCCGAAAAGGTGGTAGTTGGAGGGTGCCACATCAGGGCTATAGGAGGGGTGTGGAAGAACTTCTCACCCCATCTTTGCAATTGCCTCCAGTGTGAGGTGAGTGGTATGGGGGTGAGCGTTGTCATGCAGGATGATGATGTTTCGTCCCGGACGATTATCGCGCAATGCATGACGGAGCTTGTGCAGCGTCTAGACAGAACGAGCAGCATTGATGGTTTGCCCAGGTTCCAGGAATTCGGCCAGAATAAACCCCTCTGCATCCCAGAAGACTGTGTCCATCACATTCGCAGCTGATGTCACTGTCTTTGCTTTCTTTTTTGATGGAGAATACAAATGGTGCCATTCCATACTCTGCCATTTCGTTTCAGGCTCGAAATGGTGAAACCAGCTTTCGTCACCTGTCACAATGCAGAGCAAAAAATCATTGCCTTCGTGACGATATCTCTGCAGCAGTTCTGAGGTGATGGCTTTTCACTGACCTGTGTGGTCTTCAGTCAACCGTGGGACCCAACAAGCGCAAACTTTCCTATAGCCCAAGTTTTCAATCATCTCCTGTACTGCACTGCACTGTGCCCTGTTCCAAGTTTTCGGGCTATTGTGTCCACAGTCACACGCCTGTCATCTTGAATGATCTCATCCACTCTTTCCTTGTTTCGTTCAGTTGAGGCTGTTCGAGGATGACCGCTCCGAGGCTCATCTTCGATGCTGGTGTTCCCATCTTTAAAATGGTTCACCCAGCTTTGAACACTGCTTGCACCCATGCACACACTTCCATAAGCACGCCGAAGTCTCTGGTGAATTTCTGCAGCAGGGATTTCCTCTTTCACAAGAAATTCGATAACAGCACACTGGCGAAACGACATATCGTATGCCATTTTGTTAGGAGTGATACTCGTCACGTGATGCAAGCTATTGACGTCACAAGACACTCAAGGTTAACACAACAGCTGGTTCCACCTACCACTATACTCTCTTTTGTCTGCTGTTCCCAGGTTGCATGCAAAAAAAAAAGTTGCTCATGACTTTCAGTATGATCTACATACATATTCCTTTCTGTTGTTCCAGACATTCACTTTTCTTGGTCCATTTTCATGATATTTCACAGTTATTTCTCTAAAAGAAAAAGAAGCTGATTGTCATTATGTGTCTCAAAAATGCAGTTTGAATGTAATAATGCTTGTATTCTACGTGCTGAGTCACCTTATGTGCCTACCAAAGAAACTGCTAAACACTGACACTGAGAACAGTTATATGTACTGTAAGTGGCTGATTTGCATGTTCTGAAGCTTTGAACAGCAGTGTTTGTACATGTTCAGGAATACCCAAGGAGAAGGTCTGTGACGACACTGCCATTGAGCTGGATGTTCGGCCAAAAGCTCAGTGGATGCTGCTGCGTCCCCCACACTCAAGTGAGCTGCAGCCTCCACTGTCCCCAACAAACCCACTGATGGTAGTGCCAGATCGTTTACCAACCCCTTCTAGCTGTGAATCAAGAGAGGATGACTCAGATTCAGATGAGAGGTGGCTGTCGCAGGTTGAAATTGTGACCCATGCAGGGCCCCACCGAAGGCTTTGGATGGGACCTCAGTTCACATTCAAAACATATAATTCAGCTGTGAGCGGGTTAGTAACAGAATTGAATTATGCTTAATATTTGTGCCATATAGAAACTGTTTTGGTAGTGTTTATGGCTGAGCACTGTTGCCATCTCATCTATTTCCCTTTAAAATTGTGATGATATTTTGTTGGAAGCTTGAACAGAAATTAAACCAGAAGTAGCAAGTGTATGGCTATGGAGGGATAAATGTGGTAGCCGTCCCCCGACTTACATCTGCCATGACTGTCGCTCGAGCTTGAGTTCTTTATCCCAGGGATACGGGTGCTTTGGATAGGTCATTTCATGGGTTTACGATACCAGGAGTAAACAGGTGATGTTAGGGACAATAGTGACACCCTAAGCCTAAGGAGGACAATAGCTGAATTACAACTAGACGGTCCTGGGATGGTATCTCGCCGGAGGAGCGTCTTTCATGGTGTTAAACAATGCATAAGTTGTTCATTCCCTTAATTAAATACTTTTGGCGAAGGACGTACGGTTACAAGGGATAAATGTGAATGGAGATATTTGCATTAGTCTGTTAGTCTAAAACTTGAAGTTCATATAACTTCATATATAAAAGGGGCTAATATCTAAAAGACAATATCAGGGAGACCAAAATAAGCAGAGGTGTAAGTGACTTTAAGAATGGTTACAAACTTGTGATATGTAATATGAGAATAGTAATCTGGTTGCAGATTCTTAGACAAATTAGAAAATAAGCGTAAGATTTGAGGCTTTCAGTTTCATGTTGAAACTTCTCTCAGAGTAAAGAATGTGATTGACATTACTTTTTTTTTTTTTCAGGGTTCCATTGTCATTGCTTGAGCTGGAAGCCGTTGAGGTTGGAGTGGGCTCTGGATCACGCCCAGCACGATCCAATCCTGTGAACATGCCCATCAGCAGTGGTTCCCGCCCTGTTGTGCCTGTCCTCATAGAATCTGGATCAGGAAGTACGTAAAAGTGATCTGTAGATATATATGTAGGAATCATGTTAACCGTCAACAACAAATATACTCACCTCTTATGTTTTACAATTCGACCTTTATTCCTGCTACATGTTTCAGTTGTATAAGACCATCATCAGGCAGCAACACCCTAGCAAGACTTCTTTTTCAGAAAGTGGCAGTGTTTTTTGTTTCTTACAACAGAGCAGTTACAAGCTGTTTTTGTGGAAAGCAAAAAACATGTCAAACTAGATGATTGCTAATCTGCTCGCATACTTTCTTCCTTTCCCATTTTNGAGCGTGTTGCTGTGGTGTTCATGAGAACATTTCACCTGTCTGGTGCAGGTAGTTATGAACAGTCACCTAGACTCCTTGAAGCATATGGAACAGATGGTGCTGAGTCAGATGGTTCAGCTGGGCCTGGCGAAACCCAGCTGCGTGAGGATTTGGCTGATGCCATGATGGAGAGCCCAGGGATACCAACACATGATACAGGTAACTATTTCGTGTCCCTTCTTTTAGTGTTAGGAAGCATGAAACTTTTGTTTGAAACCTATCATGTACACTCCAATTCACGTTTTTATGATCAGCACGTTTTCGCTTAGCAGTTTATTATTTCTGTGGACCTAACCTTGCTGCATTTGTTTATCCAACATTTTTGTTAACAGTAAATTTATTCCTTGCCCGCATCTTAAACCAGGATGTTTCTTCTCATCTGTGATGAGTAACAAGCAGTATAAAAGCTGAGTGAGGTTCTGCAGCATGAAACACCTTGTATTTCTTTGATAGAATAATGGTTTTCAGTAAAATTAAAGAGAACATCATTCCAGTAGAGGCAGAATGGGGCACACATGAACATATACCATAAGCATATATTTCCTTTTACAATAAAGAATGCTGGTTAAAAATATTACCGCATTGTCAGAGGTTAGAGGCTAGACACAGGACTGAGATTGATAATTGAATTTATTAAAACTTATTGCTCTATAATTACAACAATTTAACTACTTTTCACAGTCTGCAAATAATTGTAGCACATTCCAAGTATCTCCAATCTGCTGTACCTTCATATACTTGTTTCTTGGTAAAAAAGTATGGGCTGTGGAGGCCCCTAGGGTTGTGAGCCATTGAGGCTTCCACAGTTTCTAGATGGTGATAAGGTTATCATCCCTACACACTGGCTGCCCTTTACTGCCAGGAAGATTCCTGGTGCTTATTTCTGTTAGAGGCTGGGTCGACTCCAGGGCGATAGTGTGGCTGGAAGGATTATGTCAATAGAAGAGATTCCCTGATTTCATCACCCTTCCCTTATCTGCCCCACAGTGTTAGGCTATCATCCTTCCTTGCCAGCACAATGAGTGTGTAATGATCAGGTTGGACTGATGGCATCAGTACCTTTGTCTTCATGTTCTCTACTTACATCTCTGGTCTTGTTCAGCCTCCTTTCCGGAAGTCCTTCAGGGGGCATCCTTGTTGGCAGTTTCTCCTAAGATGGCTGATACCCCTGTACTCCCAGCACATCAGTCCCTCAGTCTTGCTCCTGTTGGTCCCTAGCAACTATGATTCCATGGGTACTCTAGTCCCTACAATATGCATCCTTGCATGTGGCCCAGCTTTGGCGGCCTTCACAGCCTCTGATTTCAGGCCCTGGCTTAAGGCTTTCCAGCATCCTCTTGCCTCCTATGTAGAGGAGAGCTTCACTTCTCAGTCCCTTATCCCACCAATAAATTCTTAAGCAGCCTTCCTCTGGGTAAAGTATTGGGGCAGTTCAACAAGGGCCCATTAGACTAGTTGCTCATTGGCAGTGGCAAGTGTTTGGAAATAATCGTTGATCTACTGGCTCATAGCTTTCAGCTGCAGACAGTACACTGCGGCCAGTTGGTGGTTCCCAGAACACCCTTCAAACTTACTTTTATGGGGATGCTATGCAGGGCATCAACAGCCTGCCCCTACAGGATGTGCAGTAGGTGTGTGCCTTTCTTGTTGTCTGTCCAGTTGTGCTGTGCTGCATCTTGCAACTGACAATGGAACAGAGTCCAGGACATCAGGTCGTGTTATCCTGTCCGCTTTGGCTGATATATTTCCACAACATCCGCACCCTGCTTGGGCTTTGACTTTAGCCATTTACATTTTTAACTCCCACCATGTGGCATCTACAAGTATCTTCATTGCTTGTATGAAGACCCTTGTTCCTTGGATCTTCATTTTGATTTCTTTGCAGAGGCTCTGAGTCTTCTTATTGACAAACACCTCATCACTTGTACATCCAGTCATGTCTCTTGAATCTCAGTGTCAACTTCCTCACAGAGGCTTTGGATCTGTTAGTCAGCAAACTCTGGAATGCCCCTGCACTCCTTTGTTGATGATTTCCTTTTATTCGGTCCAAATGTTATTTGTTGTGTCTTTCATCTCCTCTTGGCCAGACCTGATTGGGCTTTCATTTCTTCTTGATCAGCCTTTATCATGGCCTCAGTTGTTTCTTGATTTGGCAGCAGACATTCCATCATCTGGTCCATTTCTAGAGTATAGCAGTCCAACAGTGTAGTCCGACACCAATTTTCACAGATTAGTGATCAGACACAGGGTTTGGATTGATAATTGAATTTTTGAATACTTACCACTCTTAACTACAGGTAATTACAACATTTTTACTACTTTTCAAAACCTAGAAATAACTACAGCACATTTCAGGTCCTTGCAGTCTGATATATCTTCATATACCTATTGTTTGGCTGTGGTCTCCAGTAATGGGTATGCAGATAGTTTAAGCCCGAGCAGAGTGTGGAGGTATGGGGACATACCAGCCAAAGTGGGTAAGGTAATGCCACCAAGGTTAGTGGGTCCATGTGTTGGACCCTGTTCCATTGCCAGTGAGAGGCCATGGCAGAGCACAAGAACTGGACAGACTGAGGGATTCTCCCTAATGTTTCCATTCTCAGTGGCTCTACTTCATACATTGGTGGCTCTGTAGTGGACTGTAGTTCCTCAGATGTTGTGTATGTGTTCATTACCATGGAAATGTGTTTTAACAAGCTGCTGTATAGTAATGGATGTCTCTGCAACCCTTCTTTCACTCCAAACATCTGACTTTCATGCATCATGTCAGATGTACGTGGACACGCTGATACCATAAGTTAATACTTCCTTTTAAAATAAAGAATCTTCGATAAAAGTTTTATATCAACCCAGAGGAGAATGATATTTATGAAGATTTCTCAAAAGATGTTAAGATTGTACTGCTATAATACGTAAAACAGGCGAACTGGGCTGAATGCTGGGAAGGAAGTTGATTGTGCTGTAAATCTCCATGTATTTCTACTTATGCTATTTCAGGTTACACTGAATTTTTAAGAATGACAGTTTTGTTCATGGAATTCTTTATTATCTGTAAGGGGAAACTTACCAAGCATTTGATCTTGAATCTGGGATATGTAGAGAAGTTCCAAAAGCTATGATGTAAACACAGCAGTCAGCCTTCAAGTTCCATAGAAGGAAAGGAATTTTTTGAATAGAGTAGCTTCTCAGGAGAGGCTTTTCTCTATGGAATTTGTTAGTTCATGGAGTTCGAATACAGCACTGGCATCTGTATGATTTATAAACACTTTGCCATGCTAAGACTTTGAAAATAAATACAAATAATGTATCCTACTTGTTTACTGACCCAGTACACACAATGATATATATGGTGAGTTGGAGAAACATGCAGGTTGCTGCACAAGTCAAACTGAGCAGATGAGTAATGTGAATTCAGTGAGCACATATCAGACGTTTTGTAATGTTTATGATTCTGCTCACTTTTAAGGACTGTAATTTGTCATCAGAGAAATGTATGCATTATTAGCAGGTGTACCATGATAAATCACAGACTGTGTTTGTTTTAAAATGTTTAAACAGTATGCCAAAATTTGTATATATCCACAATCCTTGACCTAGACACAATGATTTCACTCAAGTTAAATGAAAAAAATTAAACTTTCTGTAAATAGAGAATACAGTGTAATTTTAATGTTCAGAAATAATTTAAAGTTTTTTTTAAGTATAAAGATGGTAATCAAAATGAAATAAAACTGAAACGACTAAACCCCAGATTCACTTGTGTAAAATACAAAACTAGTAGTTTAGATTGTGGTTTTTCAAGTGGTGTTACCATGGATACCAACATTGCAGAGGAACATGTCTTCACCTTCACATATGCCCCAAGAGATGGAGCCAGCTGTTCCTCAGAAACACTTGTGTCCATTTTCAACACTATATAATGTCACAACTCAAAAGACCACAGTCTGTAAAGTCACAACTATGAAAACCTGAAAACTTGTATAACATTATACTTACTGCAAATGTTGCATTGTAAATTTTAAACTACAAGAGTGGTATTTACTGTGAATGTTACACTGTAGCTTCAAAAATACAATCTTAAAACACATGTAAGGACTACAAGAAGTTGTTATGAAGAGGAATTAATACTTCCCCAAAATTGGGTCAGTTTATGACCTAGCCTTCCTCACGCTTTTCTGTCCTCCTGTACCCACTTATCCTGCATCTTCATCCATTCTTTCCCTACTATTTTCTTATACAAAAGAGAAATCTTAATTTATCGGTCTTATTATATTCCGAAAGAACAGTACTTATTGCAACAATTATCATGTGTTAGAATTAATGTAATTAAATATAATGTGCTCTGTGTTAATATTATAAAAATTTGTATATTGACATCTAAATCGATATAAATGGTTCAACATTTCATGACTTCTATACCCACACACACACACACACACACACACAAAGTCATTGGTAGGTTACTGTAGTTAAGTGCCTTGAAATTGGATAATTGTACATTGGCTGTGAAATTGGAGTGGGACTACATGAACATTTATATTGTTGAATGAGGGTTTCCTTAACTTCTACATGTCACTGAGGAATGTCTGGTATATGTTGACCAATTAACATCAAAAGGTTATTGTTATATTTTAGCGTCCTGTTGCACTGATTCACGTTCATGATGTGTATTTGTACCATCCATTAAATAAGGTAATACCAGAATAATATACTCCTTTTTGAACTTTAGTTAGACTTACTAAAGAAGCATGAAAGTCCAGTTTTTTGCAGATATTTATTTTATGCAAGGCAGTATTTATTGTGAAAAAATCCTTATACTTTACAACAAACATACAAGTTGAAAAGATATATTGGGAGTAAAGGTACCTGCTATATAATCAAGCATAGATTTGTTGTTCTCCAGAACAGTACTCAGTTGCCGAGGAGTAGTATGTTTTAAAGTAAGAGTTCAGAGACTGGGGAGGGTTAGGAGAAATAAGGAACAGAGGATTTGCCCCAAATGTAGCAGAGAGGAAGATGGGAGCCAGATATCACAGCATGAAGGAACAAAGATATGGAGGCATGAGACATTGGACAAGAGTTATAGGAAAATACAAGGTGTGGCAATAAAGAACCCGGATTACTTTTATGACTCATTTCCGGCCACGTCATTGACGAAGAGGAGGGTAGGGCATTGACCCTTGGACTTCCCTCTACCGTCACACAAAGTTTCATTCACGTGCATCGGTTAGTCTGGCCGCGACCATTGTTAGAAGCGGATCGTGTTTCTGAGCTCCGTCGGAATAATGCTGAGTGCTAATGCAGAACAACGTGCTAACATCAAATTCCTCACAAAACTTGGAAAATCTGCCACTGAAACTT